TTGAGGAGCCGCGCGTGCAGCAGCAGGTCCCCCCCCACGTACCTTGAGGAGCCGCGCGTGCAGCAGCAGGGTGTAGGCCGCCTCCGTGTAGTTTTCGTAGCTGACGTGCAGCTCCTTGAGCTTGTACAGGTACCTGGGAGCGAGCGCAGCCCGGGGTTAGCACTCCGTGGTTCCACTGCAGGGTGGTGCCCGTGCTGGGCCGCAGGGGAGGCTGAGCTAACCCGGGCCCACGCCCCTGGCCTGCTCACCCTGCAGCGGGGCTGGTACCAGGCCATACCCAGGGTGGGAAAGATGGCAGCAGCCCCACCTCGCTCTGGCGGCTATGCACAGGGCTCTGCGCCCCTGCAGCATCTCCCAGGCTTCCCCCGGGCCAGGGGGTGCTGGTGCACTGGTCTGCACACCGCCCAGAGCTGACTCCACAGCCCCTGGAGTCACACGGGCTCCAGGAAAAGCCAGAGCCACTGTGACGGTGCCACCCATAAGGCTTTATGGAAATATGCATATGAATATATATATATATAACATAACTAGAATGTGTTTTATGCTACATATGCCATGTAACATATCTCTGTAAAGGGTATGATCTACTGAATCTATTCCTCCTATTTGTATGCATGTATCCTTTTTGTACTCGAATTTATGAATACTGGCCGTGTACTGGCTTGATTTCTAAATAACCTTAGTAGAGCATTTGGTCAGTTCCTGGAGAAAGGAATTCGCAAAGTTAAGTGCCCAGTCAGGAAGCACTTAAGGAACAATGCATCTTGGAATGCTCCAATCCACATGAGAAGTCTTCCTGGAGACATTCAAGATACCATGTGGGCAATGGCTTCTGCCTGTAAAAACTGTGAGTCATGCAGGGACATGTGACTTGCCCAGGTGACTCCAGAACTCCATCTTGGAGCTGGACTTTGCATAGGAGAGAGGAGGGGGTCTCCACCCACAAGAGACAGTCCATTTAAACCCCTGGGAGACCCCTCCATTTTGTCTTCAGCTGGCTAAAGAAGGAGCCTCTCCACCCCCAAAGATACCTGAAAGACACTGGAACAAAGGACAGTAACTAGAGGGGGTGTGAGTGATTACTGGACCCAGACTAGAAGGAAATTAGTCTGTAAAAGGGAGCATTCTGGAACTGGTGAGGATTTTATCTGTATTCAGTTGGATTAGACATAGACTGGTGTGTTTTATTTTATTTTACTTGGTAATTCACTTTGTTTTGTCTGTTACTACTTGGAACCACTTAAATCCTACTTTCTGTATTTAATAAAATCACTTTTTACATATTAATTAACTCAGAGTATGTATTAATACCTGGGGGAGCAAACAGCTGTGCATATCTCTCTATCAGTGTTATAGAGGGCAAACAATTTATGAGTTTACTCTGCATAAGCTTTATGCAGGGTAAAACAGATTTATTTGGGTTTTAGACCCCATTGGGAGTTGGGCATCTGAGTGCTAAAGACAAGCACACTTCTGTTAGCTGCTTTCAGGTAAACCTGCAGCTTTGAGGCAAGTAATTCAGACCCTGGGTCTTTGTTGGAGCAGACGGGCGTGTCTGGCTCAGCAAGACAGAGTGCTGGGGTCCCGAGCTGGCAGGGAAAGCAGGGGCAGAAGTAGTCCTGGCACATCAATTGGCAGCTCCCAAGGGGGTTTCTGTGATCCAACCCGTCACAGCCACCCTCCCTCCATCTCCTCCCCAGCGGGGCAGGGCCAGGCTGTGCAGAGGGGCCGGGGGAAGCTCCAGGGTAATTAGCCCAAAGAGAATTTTCAATAAACCCTCCTGTTTCATGCTGGCTGAGAGTCACTCCAGTCTAGAGAACAGGGTGGCATCAACCCCTTTGGGGGTGGAGGCCCGGGGGGTCCAGAGCGCGTGGACTCCCTGAGGGGGCCCACGGCGAGAAACAGGTGTGCTAGGGCTCCGAGAGGTGCGGATCCAGGAGGTGGAGGGGCCTGACCCCGGGAGAGAGTGGACCCCCGAGAAGGGCTGTCTCACTAAAAGGGGCACCCCCCATGGACCACACAGGGCCAAGAGTGGGCACGATCTGTGAGTCTGTGACAGAGGGCTTCATCTGTAGATTGTATTTCTCGGGGAAACTCTGAAGAGTTCAACCACAACGCCCATTGCATGACCACAGCAATAGCAGTAGATCTAGCAGCTGTGTCGGCTACATCTAGGGATGCCTGCAGGGCTGTCCTCGCTATCATTTGCCCTTCCGAGACCAGTGATTTAAATTGGTCTCTTTTTTTTCCTTTATATCATTAATAAAGTCCAAAAACGTTGCATAGTTTCTGTGATTATATTTGGCTAGTAGTGCCGCATAGTTTGCCACTCTAAATTGGAGGGTGGAGGAAGAATATACTTTGTGGCCAAATAAGTCCAACCTCTTACTGTCCTTATCAGTGGGTGCTGACCTATAGTGGTGTTGTTTCCCTCTCTGGCTGGCCGCCTCCACAACCAGTGAGTTGGGTGCTGGATGGGTGAATAAAAATTCTGTTCCCTTTGAGGGGCCATAGTACTTTTTGTCAGCCCTCTTGCAGGTAGGTGGTACGGTGGCTGGAGCGTGCCATACGTTTAGGAGGTTCCATTAGCGCCCCATGGATTGGCAGTGCTATCTTGGATGATGAAGATGTCTGCAAAATGTCCAGTAATACATGTTGGGCTTCTGGTACTTCTTCAAGAAGAATTTTTAGATAATCAGCCACCCTTTTGAACAAGTCCTGAAAGTGGTTGAAGTCATAGTGGTTGGGGATTGGGGCATTATTGCCTCATTTGGAGAGTTATTCATGTTTGGCGAAGTGTCAAGTGCACGACACTCTTCCTCTTCTTCTATGGGTTCCTCCCTCGGATCAGTTGTTAAAAGTCTCCGACGGTGAAGGTGGAGACTAATGCCTTCCGTGCGTGGGCTGGGGGGTCTGCTCAGGGGTGAAAGTAACTCCAGTCACTTACTGGTATGGGGCTGGGGCCGGTTCTGGCCCCCAGAAGGGGCGGAGCCTCGGGCGGAAGGGGCAGGGCTGGGGGTCAGCATCCCCCAGCCAGCCCTTCCAGGCCATCTGGCCCGCGCTGCCCAGGGCTCCAGTGGCGATTTAAGGGGCCCGGGGCTCCGGACGCCGCTGCTGCTACCATGACAGTGGCATCTGGAGCCTCAGGCCCTTTTAAATCGCCAGCCCCGGGGCAGGTGCTCCCTTTGCCCCCACTCCGGCTGTCGGCGGCTGAGGGGGGGCAAAAGGGGCAGGGATGTTAAAGCGTTGCAGGGTCCTTTGCCGCGGCAGCGCTTTAATGTGGGCTGGGTACGGGCTGGTGCGGGTGTGACGTTATTGATATAATCTGGGACCATATAGATCATTGTTGCAACCAAGGTCCTGTAGTGGCACGCAAATCTTGTATAAAGGGGGTCAAATGGGGTGTCTAAGACAAGGTTATGGTTTACTGGTTATGATTATGCTGTCTATATGTGTGTATCAATTTTGTAGTTGAAGTTATAAATATTGGCTCTGTACTGTCTGTATCTCAAACTTATGCTATGCTGCTGGGTGACCTCCCAGACAAACTGGTGTTAGCTCTGCCTAGCCTGCTTGATGGCCCATTAAGGACCATCAGCTGTACAATGGACCCATTGAGAGAAGGCAAATATGCCTTGAGACTCAGCAAAGTATGCAGGAACTTGCCCATGTGACTCCAGACTCCATTTTGCTGTAATTTTCCACAGTAAGAACAAAGAGGTGTTTTTACACCTGGAAAAGACTATATAAGGCTGATGCCTCATCTCCATCTGGTCTTCAATCCTGCTTCATATCTCTGGAGGAACTTTGCTACAAGCTGAAGCTTTGAACAAAGGACTGAGGACCCATCCCAGCGGGGGATGTATTCCAGAGACTTGATTTGAACCTGCAGTTTATTCCATCACCGCTACAAGCCTGAACCAAGAACTTTGCCATTACTGTATGTAATTGATTCCATTTAACCAATTCTAGCTCTCATCTCTATCTTTTTCCTTTTATGAATTTAGATTTTAGATTCTGAAGGATTGGCAACAGCGTGATTTGTGGGTAAGATCTGATTTGTATATTGACCTGGGTCTGGGGCTTGGTCCTTTGGGATCAGGAGAACCTTTTTCTTTTACTGGGGTATTGGTTTTCATAACCATTTGTCCCCATAATGAGTGGCACTGGTGGTAATACTGGGAAACTGGAGTGTCTAAGGAGATTGCTTGTGAGACTTGTGGTTAGCCAGTGGGGTGAGACCGAAGTCCTCTTAGTCTGGCTGGTTTGGTTTGCCTTAGAGGTGGAAAAACCCCCAGCCTTGGGCTGTAACTGCCCTGTGTGAGCAATTTGTCCTGAGTTGGTACTCTCAGTTGGGTTCCGCCAGAACCGCATTGTCACAGCGGGTTCTTACCGGTACGCCATATCAGCCCGTACCAGCTCACTTTCACCCCTGAGTCTGCTGTAGTGTCTTCTGTAAGACCCCCATTGGTCCCAATACGGCCAGTTTGGTGGGGAAAGGCATGGGTGGTCCCATCCACGGAGGCCCATACCATGGTGGTATTTCGTGCCCCTATGTGGACCTTGATCGTAGTGGTCCAGCTGTCATAGGTGTTCTGTTCAGGGAGGAATGGTGAGGTGAGAACATCCCTTTTTCCTCGTCGTCCTCTTCACTTGAGATTGGAGGGGCTATCCGAGATAACGGTTGCTCTGGTACTGCACGCGCTGAGGAGCCTTCGATGTCCAGAAGTGGGGACTCTGGTATCGAGGAGACAAATAGATCTTTCTGGGGCAGAAAACGGTGTGGTGTCAGGAGCTTTGGTGCCGACGAGGTCGGTGCTGATTGTGTTGATGGTGTAGCAGTCGGTGCCGATGCTGTTGTGGTCTTTGTCGGTGCCATTGTAATAGTAACAGTGGGAGGAGGCATAGTTAGCAGAGTGACTGTCGGTGCTGTCTCCTTCAGCGTCATCGATGGTTCCTTGATGGAGGACGTAGGCTTAGAGCCCCTCGACTCCGCACCGGAGCACTTTGTTTCGGCAGAGGCCACTGCACAAGTGGTGCTGGAGGTTCCCGGAGAGTTTTAAGTGCTGAGCAGCTGTGAGGTCGGCACCAAGGAAAGCAGTCTAGTGGGAGACCATTTCCTTCTGGTCTGCTCTCTCTGAGGCCATGAGGACACTTGTTTTTTTGAGGAATCGGTCTCAGGAGACCCTGCCGTTAAAATGTTTGATGATCTCTGCTGGGAGGGAGTTTCCTGCCCCAGATCAGAGGCGGGCCATAGTGATTTCTCCATCAAGATGAGTTTTAGCCTCAGGTCTCTATCTCTATGAGCCTGGGCTTTGACTTATTACAATGGGCACGTTTCTGGGGTTTGTGCATCTCCCGCAAGCAACGGACACATTGAGTGTGTCCATTGGATGCCGGCATCACTTCTCTGCACGTCGTACAGCGTTTGAATCCTGGTGAACCTGGCATTTTTGTCAGTTCACAATCTCTGTCCTTTCTAGCTGCTGAATCTCTGTTCCAGGGCATGATGCACCCAGGGGGCTGCAGGGCAGCTACTGAGAACCACCATCTTATTCTGCTTGTGAGCAAAGCCCATTGGGGTGGAGGCCACAGGATGCTGTGCTGGAGGTGGGATGGGCCCTGCCTGGGCATATAGGGACGGACCCCCGGGGCACACGGCTCTCACAGACCCTCGGGCATGGCTCTCACGGACCCCCTCCCCCCCGGGGCACACGGCTCTCACCTGATGTACATGGCCCGGCGGTCGATTTCCTTGTAGAAGTTCTGGGGAAGGAAGAGCAGATGGAGGAAGGTGACTGGTGGAGGAGGCACTAAAGAGCTCTGGGCTGGATCCACAGAGGGATATCGGTGCCTGTGTGTAGGCGCCTGCCACCCCATGGGATCTGCAGCCCAGAAGAGGGCGCCCAGCTCCCCACACAATGGATGGGCAGAGCCAGGCCCCTGAGAGTGGGTCCCACGGAAGCCAGCGAGAGGTGGGGACCTGCCAGAACTAGCCAATGGGAGATGCTGACCAGAGGGGTGGGGTCTCTGTCCTGCCCTTCCAAGGGCTGTAGGCGCCTACCTCCCCCAACCTGGCACTCACAGCACTGACCCCTGGTTGCAGAGTGGTGCCTCGGCCCGGCCAGTTGGTTCCAGCGCTCCCCCAGGCTTTGGGAGCCCCAGGTTCAATTCCCCCTCTGCCAGACGTGGAGCAGGGATTTGAACAGGGTCACCCCTGCCCATGGGGCCGTGGGGTGCCTGGGCCTCTCCTGCTGAAGCCACTGCCCCGTGTAAATGTCCCTGCTACCAGACGTGTCAGGGGCCAGTTCTCAGGGCTCGGTACCGCAGGGGCTGCCCGGGGTAGCGAGGGAGGGGCAAGTCCATCCCCACATGTGCTCCAAGGAAGGGGGGCTGGTACCTGAGGGACAGGACGTATCTCTGCCTTCCCCAGATGGGCCATGTCCGGTCCCCCCTCAGGCCTGAGGGCAGCAAGGGGAAAATCTTCCCTTGTCAACATACGCCCCGTCTGGCCACACAGCCTCATGCACCATGGGGCATGGCAGGCCTGTCACACTGTCTGGGGGGCAGGAGCTGCCCTGGGAGATGTCTGGCTGGGGGGCGGGAGCTGCCAGTGGAGGATGCCGGGCTGTGGGGCGGGGGGTGCCGGGCTGGGGGCTGGATCTGCCCGGGGAGACGCTGGGCTGGGGGGCTGGGGGGCGGGGGATGCCAGCGGGGAGACGCCGGGCTGGGGGGCGGGGGA